CGAGGGGGCTGGTTTGGGGCGGTCACCAGCCCCAGCCGCCCCATCGCCACTGCTGCCCATTTCTGCTGCGCGTATTCCAAAGAAGGAATCTGCTGGAGAAAGCCCTTGGCCAGCTCTTCGTCAAGCAAATTGAACAATGTCCGGGCGGTCAAGAGCTGACTTCCACGACCCCCTACAAATTTGCAGCGCCGAGGTGTTCGGCTGCCGTTGCCGGGGGTTGGGCTGCATCAGCAGGCATGGATGAGGCGCAAGCGAAAAGGCTGGCCAGGCGCCACACTCATGACGCGATCAAAGTGCTTTCCACTTCGTTGAAGCCAGTTCTCCACCAAGTCAGCAAACTTTTGGACTTCCGCCTCAGTGAAAAAGCCGACCCGCTGCTGCTGCTAAATGCGCCCGCCATTGTTCGTGCAATCATATCCGGGGTAATAGCCCGCATCCTCTCTTGCCTCAAAGACTGGAAAAAAATTCGGGTTCGAGGCTGTGTCCAGTCAGCGGTGGAACAGTTGCCGCAACCGTCCTGCACGGTAAATGCAATTAGCGGACACAGGCTGAGCCGGGATCAGAGCAAGCGCCCGCTGCAATGACCACGTGGCCCCATGGGACACATGAGTGCTGAAAAGCGAAGCCAATCCCTGCGCCATGGCAACAGGGTACCCGGCAGCGAGTTGCGACATCGACTGTCCGTCTAAGCGCCTCTTTTGTCCAAGTCGGATGTGCGACCCTGGCGCGTGGAAACAAGCCCCGGCAATACTCTGAATGTCTTCAGAATTGCTGAGAATGATCCGAGACCTGTCTGCATCCAAACCGACCTGACATCCGGCGACCCACGCAGCAAACGTGGCACGCTGGTCACGGAACACCTGCATAAAGTCTTCTAAGAACACCAGGGACGAGGGTGAGCTTTCATACTCAAAGACGCCGCCTGCGGCCAACATGACAAGCAAGGAAGTTGCTCTATAATGCAACGAAGCTGTGTCCTGTGCGCGCAAGTGATGAGCCACCATGTTGCTGCTGGCCCGCCCGCAACTTGCCGAAGGTGAGCTCAGAGATGGCGGAGCCGAAAGAGCACCGCCGATCACTCCAGCGTTTATCAGCTTAGCCAAAACACTTGCCAGCGCATCGTTCAACAGGTCGTGCCCAAAAACCAAGTCGATAGGCTCGAGCACTGCGAAGCCCAATGCTTCGAGCTGCGCCGACACTGGCGTTGCTACTCCAGCAAACAGGTCCAGGAACAAACGAAAACGAGGCTGATCACATTCCGTGGCTGCCTATGTTGAAAAGGCAAAAGCTGACCCCGTGGCTGCGGCCTGGATGCTGGGCAGAAAACCAAGCGTGCAGAAACTCACGCAAGTGTGTGAAAGTAGCTCGGGCACTCACCGGCTTCAGCGGAAGCGCCAACCAAGGAAACCCTGTGCCCAGAAGCGCCTGGGCATTTTGAAGCTGCTTTTGCGCAGTGTTCTGACGGGTATGTAAACAGACGAAACGGAAAATCTCAAAGGCTGAGCGACAGCCATGCCTGACATGCCTATAGCGTAGACAAGACGGAAAAACCGAATCTTGCCACTTAGTGCTTGGCACTGTCGTGCGCCGAAGCCGCGTGCTTACCCCTGCACACCGTCCCGTCGGGGTGAAGCACTGCACAAACGTGCATGAATTTGCACCTGCCGGATGTGCAGCCGTTCAAATTAGATCGAAAGCAGATGGGTCTCCCATCGCTAGTTGTCTTTCCCCACTCAGTTGCCTTCTCTGCCCAAATATCCTTGGCAGAGGAGGCAGCAAGCGGTTTGACATCTGCCCGAGTCTGTGGCGTCACTCGCGCCTTCTTGCCACCCGGCCCCTTTTCCGGGATAGATGATCTGGGGCCGTCGGGCTTGGGCCGACTGACTTTGGGGCGAGGTTGGAGGTGACTGGAGATGTCCTGCCTGGCGAACGTGCATTCGTAAATGCTCTGATTCTAGCTGCACTGCCTCTCGCGTTGCAACTGGAAAATGGATTGCCAGATCGGCTGCAACAATTTCCATCACGTTCGGGTTCCGCAGCCCTTCGTCGTGCAACTGCCCAAAGGCACGCTCATTGAGAAGGCGACCGACCATGGAGTCCGGCACCTTGCACTTCAGTAAGGGTGACTTGAAGGACTCAGCGGAGTCAAAGTCGCTCCCATCGGGATCCAAAACCGCCGGCGACTCCATATCTAAGCTTGTTTTGAGCAGCGGCTCCAAGCTTTTGAGGGTCTGACAAACATCACCTGGCACGTGCGCGTGCCATCCTCGAGCAGCCCAGCGGGGCAGTAAAACTCTCAACGCGGCGGGCTGGGCTAGACAGCTTGCGCCTTGATTGCACTTCGCAGGCCCGTGAGATGAGACAGCAGTGTCATGTTGGAAAATTACGCAGACTTCAGAATTGACTTGCACGCAGCTTGGCTACACAGTCTAACCGAGCTTGGGAAATCAGAGACAAGCAGCGCGTTGTCTGAATCTCTCAACAGGACACCGCACACTGGTTGGCTGGGCCGTTCGTCCGACTGGCGTGGCTTTGCCACGTGGACGACAGTTGAAACTGTATTCAGCAAAAAATTCGGAAGAGCCGAATTGGACTGAGGAGATCTGACTCAGATCCAGATCCCGAGGACAGCGACAATGAGTTGGATGAAGAGCTGCTGGAGCATTCCTCACAATTGTCTGGCCCAGAAACTGAATCTTCGCCTGGAGGTGCTAGGCCCGGCTCACCAATTGAGTTGAGCCACTCAATAACTTGCTGCCTCAACGAAGGCAATTGGAAATGAAGCTCTGCCAAGGCCTCGCAACTGAGGCATCACTGGGCGCCAGCCTTGCCTGGCTTTGTGGAGGATCATGATTTGCAACTGCAGAGCATCATGCACGTCGTCCCTAGAGTTCAGGGCCACGCTCGTGCCAGTGGGTTGTTGCCTCCAGGGCGCTGGAGGGTCTCACTGGCGCGACCAGCTCAGGAGAGCGCTCTTCATGCTATGGACGCCGAGCTGGCTGCACCGCTGTTGCAATTTGAGTCGGGAGACATTGGCTTGCTGCAAGTGCTGGTGCAATAGATATCGAAGCAGCTGAGAGAGCACTGCTGCCTGGTGGCTGGTCTGTCCAACATTGGCTGGCGCTCTGATCCGAAATTGCACACAGCGGCGTTGGATAGCAGGAATTCTGGGCAAAAGCCGCCTTGCTGCTGCGCCGCATTGCGCAAGCAATCGCTCATGATTTCAAACCAGATGTCACCCCAACATGGAGATCCCACATTGCCGTAAAACCCGCACGTGGCCGCAGCAAAAGGCTGGCCACGCTGCGATGTTTTGGTGATCGCGCACAAGGCCCGAATACAGCCGTAGAGGCGCTGCATGGATACAAGTTCCACACGTTGGCCGTCTGCGAACCTCAAACTGGACCAGATCATCAGGAGGATTGCCCCAATGGCCAGCTTGTCTGCCAAACAAACATCTGCGCGAAGAATCTGCCTTTCCAGGTATGCCACAAAAGACATGGGGAGCGGGCAGCTCTCGCGTCGCAGCTTCGGTGGGCACGCCTCCGTGTAACTTGCTGCGACTGGCTCAAACAGCAGCGCGTTGAACTCTTGTAAGCCCGCGTGAAGCGACACCCAGCACAATGCCTTGATGGTGGACAAGGCAGACGCTGTAGGCTTGGTGACGCGGCTGCGCACAAAGTCTGCCAAGAGACTAACCTCCGGATGCGCCGCATCTATTTCATGAATGCAGCAAAAATCCGCCCACTTGCGCCACGCTTGCAGGTACCTCCTGATAGTCAAATGGGAATATTTGACCACAGCCTGCATAATGTCCGAGACCTTCAAGCAGCTGCACCCACTCGTCCAAGACGCTCTGCTTTTCAGCAGCAGCGATGTCCTTGCTGGACGCATTGGGGGCTGGAGCGGCTCGTGAAGACGGAGGCTTCAATGCCCTGGCAGACGGCGTCACCATGTCGGGGCCGCGCGGTGTCCGCAGGCTCCATGGCTCCTGCTGTACGGCTCGGGAAGAAACTGGCAGCTCCGCCCCAGGCAGAAACACCCGAGGCTTGCATGACGCTGCAAGGTTCTCATTTAGATCTGCAATGTGTGAAAGACTCAATTGTAGCCGTGGTAAGGCAGCACTTGCTGCAGCTTGCTTCGGCATAGCAAGTTGAATCCATGCCCCTGCGTCAGGCCGCCGTACCGGCCGAACATGAGGAGAGCTTGATTCCACTGCTGCCACATGCGAAACCAATGGGCTGCCGCTGATATTGGTGTTCTCTGGGGCCAAGCTGCCCAGAAGTTCCAGCATATCAGCCGAAAGTGCCATGGCTTGCTCAAACCACAATCCACACTAAACCGGTTGCCACTCGAGCCTCCAGGCCTCCGGTCACAGGAAACTCCTGCCGACCTTCCGGGTCCTCCCCCCATACAACACCGAACAAGAAACAAGTGTCTTATCGCTAGCCGGGACTTGTCCCCAGCGCTAAAGGCCGAAACTTCACTCAGCGCGCATGTTTGTTCCTGCTCTCGCGGCTTGCAAAAGCCCCTTGGCCTTGCGAACTAACCCACTCGTCCCCCTTCATTTGATTTGCCCTTTGAGCAAAACAGGGGGCGGCCAGGTGTCAAAAACTCCAAAACTGTTTAGGGGATGGCGTTTTTTGCGGTAAACAAACTGCAAACTAACAAGGCATTAACAAGGCATTAAAAAGCCTTGTGTCTAACCTAAATAATATCAATTGCCAAAGGAAGGTCCCTCTGAATTGGCCTTTTAGAGAGCCTATGTGGGATGCAAGCCATAGGGTGCCCTTCACAATGGCTGGGCTTCCTTTGCTCATCCGGTCATGGTAAAAGAATGGTTTACCTAGAAGCAAAATGGATAGGGATTGCTTAGGGCAATGTAATATAGGTTTATCTGAAGACCCTCAATATCCGAGCCACCATCCTTGATGTCATGTTTGGTGTCCCTTTCAAAGCCCACCACGAAAAGAGTGCTTCCAAATGAAGAAGAAAAAAAAACGTGTAAGGAGCTCCGTTTTGACACCTCGCACTCTTGTTCTGCGACAACTCAATGCCTGCGGCTCAGGCACTCAGGCGATGGCTTGCTACATCTCTCCCTGGGCCAAAGCCCGCCCGGCCAAACAAGAGCAAAGGACCCGCCTTTCTGGAAGAGTCCCAGGGGAAACCAAAAAGAAGCAAACACAGTTGTGGGAAGACCCCTTCAAATGGTCGCCTCTTGGTTCTCTTGGCTCCTCTTTAAGTCGTAGTTTTGCTGGGGCGTGCCACTAAGCTCCAGGAACATCTCCTGGAAAATCGCAGACATCCTGTGCTTTTTGGTTGGTGAGCTTCCTACCTGGAGCTCTTCTTGGAACCCAAGATGGACATGCGCAATGCACGGGGCAAACCAAGCGGTGCGCCTGTCGAAGCCTCGACCTGCGTTTGCGTCGGAAGGCAGACTCACTTTGAGTTGGCCCACAAAGGTTGCGTGCGGTGAATCTCACCCCAGGGAAAAAAGGAAACCCTTTGTTGGATTTCTCAAGGTAACAAATCGCCGATTCTTTCCGGGTGTTCAAGCCACCTTGTAAGGCGAAAGAGAGCAGGACCGTGGCCTTGGGAAAGAGTGTCACAAATACCGTCGATCCATTCGAGCGCGCCTGGGTGGCCCGTCTTTGGGATGCGGCACCGACCTAGCGAGAATCAAAATGAGAGCAGAAAATAAACAGGCCTTGCACGAGGCTCAGGTGGGCATGTCTGTTGTTCAAATTGGGAAACCATGTTTCAGGGAGTTCCTCATGATTAGCCTTCCTTCAAGATTGTATTCGAGCAAAAGACTAGGGTCATGCGCCCCAAACAAGCACCACAGCATCGAGGCAGAATCGCAAAACGCGCACAGCCAGTAACCACCACCAAACAGCACCCTGACCAGCACCTGCAGGACCCGCCTGGCCCGAACTCGCAAGACAGACCCTCTTTAGACGTAAGATCAGTGACATTCACCCATTCACCCTTAAAAACGCAGTTACCTCGCCGAATCGGTTTTTGGCCGTGGCTCACCTTCGCTCAGCGCCCGGCGCGGCGCACCCGCTGCCAGGGATGAGATTGCGGCCGCGTGTCCGTCCCAAGCTCGGGGGTCTGTGCGCTCCAAAACGGTGGCACTTGAGAGTCTGGTTCTTCTCACCTTGTTCCTGGGGAATTTGTGGGAAATCGACCCTTCCCAGAAAAAGCGCAAGGTGAGCTTTTTTGTTAGCGGGTTCATTCCCATGACGGTCACGACAATTTTATGTTCCACCAATGCTGCACACCTGGAAAACCCTTGTAAATGCATGTTTGACGTCAACGTTTATTCTCCCTGATAAACTCAGCAGGGTTGGACCTGAACATGGGATTGGACACCACCGAATGGAATATATCCACGGGCTGCAACGCGACACCCAAAATTTAACACACGTGGCCAGTGAATAGTCTTCCAGCATGCTGTCGGGGGAACGTGAGCTGTACGTGCTTGACGAATATGTGTTGGTTCCGGCCCTTGGTTTATTGCAAATATGTGTTGTAAAGCAAAAAGAGTTGCTGTGTCTGTGCCTCTGCGTCTCTGTGTCTTTGTGTCTGTGATTACGTCCGTGTCCGTGTTTTTGTCTCTGTGTGTGTTTTGCTTCACAAATCTGCACGCTAGCAAGAAAAGGATTCTGCGGCTTCAAGACATGAAACGCATTCGGAAAAATGTCAGAAAGCAAAACAAGTAAGTTGAGGCTCAACAAAAGAGGAAAAAGACATCTCTGGGAAAAAGTGTTGGAAAGATCCACTTGCGCGCCTGGTTCAATGCCGCGGAAGACCGGGCCAGCTCAGTGCCTATCCGATCCGTCCGGGGTATGTTTACATGGACAAACTCTTGCAGTTCGCTGTTGAAAATGGGGGGGCCGTACAATTACCGCCTTAGGCGACTTCTTGTGCACGGGTGCAAACAACAAACCTCCACACCTCTGAACATGCGCTTGATCTCAATGGAAGCACGGAGGTCGCTAAGCTGCGGGCAAAGCACCTCCGCAAACCTGGCGATCGTTAAGAACCCAAATGAAGGCGTTGCTCTTAGACATGCACCGGCTGCAACAGGGTGAAAGAATTGCAGTCAATTGCGGAATGCATGAGCCATGATATCCGGGATGTATTCGAAATGTATTCCTGCAGCCAAAAGTCCCAATCGCCTGAAAGTGGAGTATCCCAATTCGCAGGCCATGGAGGTCAGCTTCGAAAGGTCCTCAGTGCACAAGGGAGGCTCAAAACCACGGAACATGGCAAACTGAGTGCTTCGTCCTGGGAATGAAGCGAGTCTCATGTCCCGAACCCTAGTTGGACCAGGGCACGATTTGTCCACCTTTTCGTAATGCAAGTGGTCGTACCGACAGGGCTTCTACACTTTAGGGTGACAAAGGAATGTCCCCAATCAGCTTGTCTAAAGCCAACCACCCTGGTCCTCCAGTCTCCTTCAGTATGCTTCAAAATTCAAGGCCGGCATCCACAACAGCCGCGTCCCAACCGATCCCTTAGCTCCTCCATGGCGCCATAAGCAGCCACCTCGAAAGGGCACTCCTCCTCCGGCTCCGCCTAGGGCGAGTTGCGACGGGAGACATGTGTGCCATCTGTGCCGTACACTGGTATATAAATGCCTTTCATTGTTTGCAAAGTTGGAGGGAGAAGGAGGGTCCGCCCCACAACAAGGCACTAAGAATCTCCGGTCGAAATCAATGGTAAGCAACCGCTCGGCCAGCTCCCGGCACTTCTGAGATTGACACACACACACACACACCAGAGAAAAAGCTCCTGGCCAATGGATCCCAGTCGCCACCATAGTAGGCAACAAGCCATTGTTCGTTTAGTTTCTAAAGCTCAGTTCCCTTAAACCAGGCGATATTTTGTGCTTAGGGTGACCTCTAAGGGGAAAAGGATTGTGCTGAAACTCCGACCATTCGCGCTTCGGAAGCCGCCTGCGCCTGCGGCTGATTGGCCCCGATGGCCGCCAGCACAATCTGCCGGTCAAGCCTTTGGAAGGGCGGCTCCACTCACGGGAACTTGGTTCAAACGGGGTTACAACGGTTGTTACAACGGTTTTAAAGGGGGAAAGAGGGATTGGTTCCCTTAGCCTTGCAACCTGCTTAAGTGGGCATCCAATCAGGGACATGGGAATAGCGTATGGTTCAATGGTTGCTTTCCAAGGTAGGTGTTGCAAGCAAACAGACCTGCTGAAAGGTCCGCGGGGGAAAGGAACACAAAAAGGAGATTGTACAGGCAACAGCATCTTAAACGTCATCAAATGAATCGTCCCACTCTGTTTCCTTTGGGGGAAAACATGAGGGATGCTTCATGACAGTCATTCCCTCATGCTGAGAACCAGCCCTAACCGCTTAGGCAACGAAGGAACCAAGAAGAGTTGACAAGGTGAAGCCTCTGTTAGCCACGTCGGCCAATAGGGCAACCATGGGCCCCAGAGGGTCCAGCCACTTTCAGCTGAGGCTCTGCAAATGGCGCTCCAGGTACTGCAGAGCCTGAAAAAGATGGACTCAGGATGTAAAGCTCCATCAAAAAAAGGAAACATCAGAACAAACCTCTTAAGGTCCGGTGCGAATAGAGAATAGACTGTGGAAGATGTCCAAAAAATGCAGGCGACTTAAGGCCGCTCCGGTTTGGGTTGGGACAGGGCTCAAAAAACTGCACTCGAAGGGGCTAATGCCCCTCACTTGAGTCAAAAGGAAACCCCATCTGAGTTGGTGTTCAAAGATACGTAAGATTTTGTTTCCCTCCTAAACAAGCCAAAAACGGTGCCCTCAAAGCCGTACCAAAGGTGTCCAACCAAAGCTATCCCATTAAAACTCTCCGGGGCTTCGCCTGCCGAAATCTTGTTGCAGGAGATTGGCATAGAACTTGACTGTTCCTACAGATTCCAATACGTGGGGCCTATTTTGTTAATCTGCGGGAGTCTCGGGACAACGCGAAGGAACGAAGCGGCGCCCGGTCTGCTTCAGGGCCTCGGGAGACTGCCTCACCGCGGACATGCCCGCCGTGTGGTCACCCCGAACTTTCGCAGGCGCATCTTTGATGCGCGTCCAGTCCTTCGCGTGAGATCGAACCCTTCGAACCCTTGTGTCAAACCAAATTACAACAGCATAGACCCCAAATAGCGAAAAACATGCTAACGTCTGTACACCAGCACCTCCCGACAGCAGCCCCGAAACAGCACCCCCCAAAGCACCCAGCCGTCAATCTCCCAAATACGTATGCGCCCGCACCACCACCAGCACCTAACAGTACCCCAAACAGCACTCCAAAACAAACTGCATGCCCCCTAGCACCCTACCGTCAATCTTGCAAAAATGCGCCCGCACCGTCACCCGCATACCCGCTAACACGCGGCCGTCAATCTCACTGCACGCCCCCTAGCAACAAAGAAGTTAGAGCCCCGACAGTTCTCAGCCATCTGGGGAACCAGTCCCGATTTAGCCGCTCCAGAAACTGAACCTCGTCTTCGGAGGAGGGTACAACTCTGGAACATTTGATATAAATCGCCAAGGTTCCATCCCGCCAGAGATGCCACAGTCAACAACATGCAGCAGTTGGCACCAAGTTAGAAAATCTACACACTGCAACCTGACGTTCGGTGAGCGGTTGTGTTGATTCATTTGTATACAACACTTGGTACATCCACTATAAAGCCAAGTTGTGGGAGGTTCACCAAAAGATTCGACAGTCCATTGTTGTAGAAGATCCCCGTTTCTGTGATATCAAAGTGGTTGATTCCCATCCCAGCCCATGCCCGTGACTTTCTCACACCAAGCAGGATGAATTCCCTTCACCACTCACAAAAGATGGCATTCCCGAAAAATGACCCTTCCAGCTCTAACGCAAACCATACCCTTGGCTATTCAACCCACAGTAGGTTACACCCATGGCTATTTCCCACTCAGCTCTGCGCTCGGGCCACCACGTCCCTCCAATCAGCCAGATCCATGGCTCCTCGAAAGAGGCGATTTGGCGCAGAAGAACCGTGGCTGTTTCCGCAAGGCAAATAAAGGCGTACCCAGTACTTGCCGTAACTTCCCAATGATTTCTTGACTTTCGCAATTCAGATCGGTGGTTTGGCCTTCCTGCTAGTTTCCACAACGGACAGCGGTTCAAAACAACACCAATCAAATCCACCAAATAAGTGCTACCCACAAAAAGCAGGCCTCACTGCTTCCCTGAGAGTTGCAGGTTGCCAGTGGGCACAACAATTCACTGCCCGCTTTTGGAGGCTCGCATGAGGTCTGTCAAAGCCCGTCCGAAACGCATGAGGCTTGGGTTGGGACCATCTCAAGTAAAGGAGTACGAAGGGTGCTTTCTGCCAGACCCTAGCCGAGCCCCTGCCCGTCCGTCCTGGCCGACAGCCGGACCATTTGGCTCAATGGCTGCGGCATGTATTGGAGCATTCCTGATTCCTGACACGTCCCCCTGAAACATCACGCCACCCAAAGGAAACTCGCCTGAATTGGCCTGGACGGGACGCCCAGAAAATGAAAGGGACGGAATTCAAGCCTCAGGTACTCGCATACACACAGGTCATCTCCCAAAAAGCTATTATTTTTTTCCGGGAGAAGTGAAAAAAATCCCTGACACTTCCGTTTGCACATGAAACAGATGTCAGAGTAGGGTGAAGGGCTACAGGGCAACAAAGAGATCAGTGCTGGGAAAGGGGGTGACTGGCAGGGGGTCAAGATCGTGGAAGTATCGAAATGAAGGCGCGGTTGATCGAACGGACCCCTTGCACAAGCTAAACATGTTGCCAATGAGCGGGGAAAAATTCAGGATACAAAATATTGAATCCCGTGGTGAAAGATACCATCGAAGACTGAAAACCAAAACGCTCAAGGTTCTCTTTGTGGTTCTAACAAATGAGCCGTGTTTCTTGTTCTCTTATTCTGCTGATGGCATGATTCAACCTTCCGCGAACCCTTGCGCCAAGCTTCCGTGGCGTGAACAGTTGCTTCCGTTTGCATGGTATGTACCGGGAGCAAAAGAAACGACAACCGAAGCCATAGGCTCCTTTCAGATCCATTGGCGCAAGCGATCAGAACCCGACCCAGCTTGCGCCCCCTGAAGGCCACTCACCTCGTTCTTCCGGAAGAAGTTTTTTGCAGCATTCTGTTGCCGCGTCCTGGCGAGAAAGCGAGAAACAGAAAACGAATCCGGATTGAAACCTCCAACCTCCGTTCCGGATTCTGTCCAAAACCCTGGGGCAAGAGTGAGGCATCAACCTGTCAAATGACCCTTTTGGTTTCTGTTTCAAACCATCCCCAAGGTGCCCAAATGGAGCATGGACCCCCACGCCCGGAGATTTCCTTTCTTCCCGAAGGCTTTGAAACGATTACAAAGATGGGAAGGCCTTTAACAAGGGTAGTTCGCACTCAGGTAACTCAACAAAAATGAACGAAAGGGGTCTACCCAAAACATGTCCCGCGCTAACCTTCGTCTACTTCATCTACCTAGGTGGCGATGACTTTACGAGGGTGTTCAAATACACGTTGGCACACGAATTCTCGTGTGAGTCATGCCCAAAAGAAAGGTCCAATTTAAACTCGTACCCAGGTTTGACTTCAACACGCCGGGAGCACTGTTTCCCAGCTTCGCTTTTGATCTGATTGAGCTGGGCCGGCGACCGGATGTACCTGGCAAGCAAATCCATGTGAGTCACGCTCGCAACTAATGGCTTGCTGTCGTCTGCGAAGCCAACAGGCAGAGTTCCTCCATCTTGGAGACATCCCAAACGGACCATAGTCCAAGTCTGGATTCAAAGAAGCCTGCCCGCAGCGCATGAAAAAGAGAACCTGATGAGCGCGCATGCGGGCGGTGGCGTGGGCGTGTGCATTTCGTCAACTCGAGCATTGTTGTCCGGCTTGAGCCATGCTTTGAGCAACGCGTCTGGCCGACCGTTCAACCGACACTTCCAGACGTTCTTCAACGCAAGCCTCGTAAGAGACGCTTCTGAGCAAGAGCTTGAGCCACACTTCTGAGCGACGACAACTTGGGCGACACTTCTGAACACACTTACAAGCGGTGTTTCGAATTACGCTCCTCAGCGACACGTAGCGACACCTCTACACACAAACATAAACAACACTTCTGAGCAACACTTCAAGCGACACTTGTACACACACACACACACGCACACACACACACACACATGTAAGCGACGCTTGTGAGCGGCACTCCTGAGCTACAGTCCGGTTAACATTTGACGGCTGCCTGAAATTGCTTGTTCGGGAAACCGCCCATCTT